CAGTGGAAGGAATACATACATCCACCAAGATGGCTTCCAACGTGTGTCAGTGGGCGATGAGAAAAGCACGAAGAAGTCAACCAGGTAGGCAGGATGTGCAAGGAACACCACATCCACAGGATTCTGATCTTGCTGAAAGCTACGAGGCCAGAAACTGCAGCTGTCGAGCATCTGAAGCCACAAAGGTGCCACCACCTTGGTACTCCAACCGCTGCTGATGACCAAGCCCGCGACAGCCATGAAGCCGATCTGCCGCATGACCAAGGTGGAAGATAGGAGCAGAGGCACAAAAGCAATGATCATGATAATTCCTGCAGCTGTGATCGTGTTGGCCGTTTGGTTCAAAGCTGAAAGGCTAGCTTCTTTGGGCGTGCTGCCTGACCGGCAGTGCTCCAAAACCGCTTCAACATAGAAGATGTCGTAGTCCAAAGCCACTCCCACAAGGAATGGAAGCATCATGGGGGGGACCACGTAGTACAACCCGGAAGGAAAGACCCAACTGCACAGCGCCCATAAAGCTGCGACCATCCAGGACAAGCAGAACAAAGCTCTCATCGTCGAGACCAAAGACCTGCGCGGCTGCACCACGCGCGGGTGCGCTGGCTGTAAGCCCTTCAGTTGCTCCCTCAAGCACTTAGGAACTTCTGTGTTGGTGGGTTCATGAGTCGCCGAGCTCCTGTTGTTGGGCAGTCGGGTGGGCGGGTGCTGAACTTGCAGCTACTCATTGACCCAACAACCACCCAGGTCACCCTGCCTGGTGAAGAGCACGGAAATGATAAAGACCACCGCGATCGTGGTCGCGACGAGGGGTGGAAATCGCTCTTGGAGTGCCTTCGCTTGGCTCGCGACGCGAGGGCCATAGCCTTGAACGAACCACTCGCCCACCTGACGCAAGGCGCAAGTCTGGCATTCTGCACGCCAACCCTCTGCAACTCCTATTTAACAAATCCTATGAGAGGTCCTTGAACATGACTGGATCCATGGAGAAAAGACGATGCCTCTTTGCTACAGAGCCCTGCCAGGTTGTGNNATGGGATTCAAGCCATAAGCCACATAGAGGATCGTGCTCCTCCTAGAGGTGCCTCTCGACCACTGACTGCTCTTCACATCAGCTGTCACGCACTTGCCCCCAATCATGATCTCTCCGACGAATGCTGAAGCTGTGAAGTTCGGATGAGATTCACTCACGGCTTGGCCGATCAACTCAAGCGCATGGCAAGATCGTAGCCGCCACTCGCCAAGGTCAACATCTTCAGGGGACATGAGTACCAGCGTGGTGGGGAAGACTGCCTCGTATCCGAATGCATCGCCCATGTCTTGCAAGAGCTGTGTTGTAGAGGCACCGCTAGGCAAAGCCGGCACAACTCCCAGGATGTTGTCTGGCAGCCTCAGATCTTGCCATAGAANNTGGGACGGTCAGGATCAGCGTCAAGCCCATCAGCAGTCTGGCCCACTTCCTCAAGCACAAGCCGAAGCGCACCCACATTGCTTCAGCATCTGAGCTCGAAGCTGATCCTACCTGCAATTCTAGGTCGCTGCTGGAGCTTTCCGATGATTGTCCAGCCTCCCAGCCACTTCGGCCTGGCCTCTTCCATGCGCAGCAGCAGCGTTGGGGCTCCCAGAAAGAAGGCCAAAGCGTGATGAGACATGGAGTCAAAGACATGCTTGCCATCATGGCCATGCAAACGGCCACAAGCCCACCCATGCCCATGGCACTCACCAGCGGCACGGGAATCATCAGCAAGCAGCAAAAGCAGCAACAAAGGGTGATTCCTGCTTGAGCTACGATCTTGCCAGATGTAGCCATTGTCACTGAGAGGCTCCTGGACGGGTCGCAATTGCTTTGCATCTCCTTCTGAAATCTGCTCAGTAGGAAGAGTGAATAATCGATAGACATGGCGAGCACTACCGCGATCAGGAAGGGCGGCGTGAAAAGACTCACTGGCATCAGCCGCACCACCAGCAAATCCATCACCAGCACTGAGCCCGTCACAGCCGCTAGGACGTTCACCGTGGCAATGATCACCAGCCGCACATTGCCCACCATGTGAGCCAAGACCGCCAAGCCCGCCGGAAGGGTAGCAGCACTGATGGCCATGACCACTTCCACGCCGGAACTGATCGTCTCAACGAGCAGGGCGAAGGAGAGCACCTCGGCTTTCCAATGCTCAGAGCCAATCTCATTGGCCACGCTCTTGAGGAGATGATCCACTTGGAGCGTCTCTTCGGAATAGTCGGGCACCTCCACTCCGTTGCAGCTTTGTGTCTGAACGGCCACCAGGATCTTCTCGGCCTCCT